TCCTTGAGTGGCTAAGAAAGGTGAATAAAAGTGAATTTTCTTTTTTTAATGCTATGTTTGGGAACATTAATTTGGTGAAGTGTATTTGAATTTGAATATTTTAAATTCAATATCATTGTTTATTTTTACCTAAATAAAATGTAATTAAATTTAAGTAAAATACATGCATTTCAACCGGATAATTTAAGAGAGTAAAAACAGTATATTTCAAATTCACTTTCAAACCCAAGAATTTCAATTTTGAATTGAATTTCCTCTGCACTCTCTCCTCTCACTGACGGCGATGAGGCCTTCTTCGTCTGTCCATCTTGACTTTGCCGTTGCTCTTTCACTTTCTCGTCATTGTCGACCACTTGAACCACTCCTGTAAAATCGTTATAAAATGCTCATCAACATAGCTCTCTCACTCTCAAATCCCAACACTGATCTTCGGTGCTGTCTCTCTTCTTCTCCTTCATTCTCCTTCGCTTGAGCAAGTATCGACGACCAAGGGTGAGTCCATGTTTCTGCTTCGAAGGGAGAACGAAAAGCCCAAGGTTCTCTTCAATGCCTTTTCAAGTTTTGAATCTCATTAGTTCGTCGGATTTTGATTTCAAGTACTTCGTTCTGCTTAATAAGCATCTATGGCTTTCGGTTTTTGTTCTATTAATAGATCGAGGAGTATCGCTTTGTTCGTCAGTGGTTTTAGTGTGCCAGGGTTTTCGTTTGCTGTTTTATGAAGTACCAATGGAATCTGTTATAATTTGGGTCAGAATCAACGATGTCGTAATCATGGATTTCGTTTGATGTTCACGAAGATGTCCAGTGTTAATTTGATCATATTAATTTTTGAATCTCTGAACAAGTTTTGGTTTTGGTGATTTGAAGAATGGGGTTTTGAACTGTTGTTATTTTTTATAAATTTTCTGCATTTATATATGCTATATCTGGATGATATGATGTAATGGAGTTTTAATGAAGTGAGTTAAATGCAGTGAGCTTTTCTAGAAATTTTCTGCAATTTTATGTGTATGGTTGGATGAATTGTGTGTTTTGAATGAAGATTTGAGAAGTGGGTATTTTCATGTCTGTATTAGGATTGAAGGAGGGCAAATCAGAATAAGATCTAGGGGTAAAGAGTTGTCTCTAGCTCTCATTTTTTTGATTTACTAAATATACCTTGTCGTAGCATTGGAAGTTTGGAACTCCCCAATCCCTGGAAACCTCCACGTTCCATTGCTTTTTGGATAAGATATGTATCTGAGCTCTCCACAAGGACCCATCCCCACTTGGCTTTCCTAAGACAGAAAATGAATTTGTATTTCTAGAGTTCACCGGAAAAACTTTGGTGGTTGCATGCATTGAGAAAAGACCAAAGAACATATCACTAAATATTGACATTAAACACTTTCAACGTGATTCTAGATGCTGATGGTCCATAATTTGGATAATTAAAGGCTCTCCTCCTATTCAATTGTGTCTTAATCTAGGTTCAATTGTGCTTTTTATGATGGATCTTTTTTCTTATCATTATAGGAAAAAAACCCAGAAGGCTATTGTCCAACAAAGTCAAATATTTTGTTGATTTGTTGTAATATCTAGGTTTTCAATGTAATTTGGGTGTATTCAAGCAGCAACATTGATCTTTGTTTCGATGAGGAAAAAGAGGAAAAGGAGAAAAGCTAATGCGTCTCTTGAGGTGTCAACCAATTTTGCAGCATCCCATGAATCGAGATTGTCTAATCTTAGATCTCATTACTCTCTAGAAGACTATGCAAGGATAAAAAAGAGGTGCAAAGAAGATGTGATTACCCAACCTATTGGTTCTTGTAAGAGTATACTTGCAGGCATTGTTACTACTCCCCCTTGTGGTGCCTCATCTTTGGTCCCACCAGGGAGAGGTCTGAAGAGGAAGGTAGGGTGCATAGATGAAATTATCCGAACAGGTTGGAAGAATAAGATTGAGGATGACTATGTTAAGGGTGACACAATTGGTTAAGGGAAATAATGTTTTGAAATATTAAAATTGTTAACTTTGATTTTATTAAATTTAAATAATAATTAGAAGAAGATTTAATTTAATAGAAAAATTCAATTTCAAATACATAGTATTTTAAAATATCCCAACAATGTATTTAAAAATATATGTATTTGAATTTTTTTTTAATTCAATCCAAACAATGTATTTTAAAATACATATATTTTAAATACATGTATTTCAAATACATATATTTTAATTACATTCATTAAATTCAAATTCAAGTTCCCAAACACAACCTAAAAGTTTTTTTCTCATTTGTGAGAGTTTCTCTAATTTTTTAAGG